AAGTAATTATGTGGTATAGGAGTTGGAAACCACTGGATTACACATGTTTCCCATCCCTGACTAGTGCACAGTTGCTTGCTGACCTTTTGTCTTTTTGTTTTTTTCATCCACATAAATGGAGTTGGTGCTCCCTGCCTCCTTACTGTCTTCTAAATGTCATTGGGATGTTTTGTGCTAAGGAGGGAGCACTATAAATATTTCTGGGATTTTGTATCTCTTCCTATAGGCTAATTTATCTTTAAAAGCCTTGAACAACACCTTGGTGAATCTTGGATTGAGGGAAAGCAAGAAGATAGATGGCATGTATACTGGAAAAAGTGTGAATTTCTGATTCATCTTTGAGAGGGTGGATAAAAATCAATGATTAAAAAATGTTTTAAATCACAATTTGAATCATGGTTTACATAAAAGTCATTGGGGTACTATGATAATTGAATTTGAGTGTCCACTATAAATATGTATTTTTAAATTTTGAATCGTGATTTAAATTGCCCTTCTCCTCTTACATTGGGGTACTATGATAATTGAATTTGAGTGTCCACTATAAATATATATTTTTAAATTTTGAATCGTGATTTAAATTGTGATTTAAATCAAATCCATCCTGCTGAGAGGTATTGCTTGCTAAGGATAGCCAGCTAATGCCTCATGCAAGCATTATGTTTACTTCAAACCAAATAAAAATTGTCAAGGGCTAGATGATAAATCTATTCTGTTCAATCAGTAGTGTTGGACAGGCAAACTTCAGTTGTCCAGCACAATCAGATAGCATATTCGACAGGTCAAAGATCGTGTTTCTAAATTCACTGAGACTGAATGGGAATGCCTGAGCAGGTTAACGTGTAGTCAGGCTGACTTCTTTTTGCAAAAAAAATCTTCTGTGAAATTGAAGGCCAGTGGGAGAGTACACAAAGAGAGGCTTAAAACCTTATGGCCAAAGAGTTTGTAAGGTTGTCTTTTTGGCTTAATCTAACATGAACCAGTGAAACATATCTGTTTTAGGCGGGAAGTGCAAGGTACACACGATTTTACCTGAAATGCTGCCTCAGCACTTCTCTTCAGGCTTCTTTTTTCTTCCTGCATCTTCTACTACGTTAGGATTACTTTATTTAAGATTGCTCCTAAACATGCATGTGCATTGTAATTGATCTTAGTTCTTTGTATCTGTGTTACATTTGCACTGGAAAAACACCCAACAGTGTACAAACATTTTTTTACGTTATATGATGCTCCCAGATGACCTTAAGTACTCTTAAGAGATTTGTGTTAGTTCAAGAAAATGCTCGATGTTGGGTATTGCACCTCAGGTCTTTATCTCTCTCTCTCTCTCTCTGTCCTGTCCTGTCCTGTCCTGTCTTTATAGTTCTTAGGGCAGAGTACAAACAATAAAACAACTTAAACAACTGCGAAACAATTCAAAACAGTTTAGCAAAGTAAAATAATTTATAGAAATCCACGGCCCAGTGTAGGAGAGCCAAGCCATAACTACCGGACCCCCAAAGTTTAGGTGAACAGCCATGTTTTGTACACAAAGGAGGCCACTGGACATTCCACAAATGGGATGCCACAGCAAAGAAGGTCTTCTCTCCTGTCCCACAAAGTCTGTTGTTCCAACTAGTGGAACATAGAGGAAGGCCTTCCAGGCAAATTTC